AATGACTTCTAGGGAAACCCTGAGGTCACCTTGGATTCAGCCCAGTCTTTCCCTGCCTGTGTGATGGCACAATGATATTTCAAGTTCTTAACGACAGTTGAATCACCACAATCCTGAATCACAGAAGATTAAGTTATATTTGCCAAACAGCTCATATTTTCTGAAGCAAGAAAATATAATGATGTATTTTACAAAGAAGTCACAAAAATCTAAACTAGTGTCTAGCTAGACCTGAAGTAACCAGAGTGTCCAATTGACTACAACATCACGTCCTCTCGAATATTTTCTATGGCTGCCGTAGGAAAGTTCAATATAATTCAAGGCCAGTTTAACTTCTCGTACACAGATAATTTTATAGCAGGCACATTGTTGTTCAAGTCGATCAATGATTCAGTTTGCTTATAAAAGCATAAACAGAACCTTTGAAAGTATTGCTTTTTGTCCTTTCTTGCTATAAACCATTAGATTTGGGGCCAGAAAACACACAGCCCAAGCAGAACAAGTATTTGCCTCCTTAATGTTCAGTGTAGACTCTTACCCAAGGAACTAAGGCTTAGTCATCAAATTCATTATAAAAAAAAATTACTAGGTTTGCTAACTTGCCATCTGTTTTGAGGCTGGGAGGAAAATCTGACCCCAGATAATACAGGGTCTTTCTTCTTTTTATAAAAGTGGCCAAGGGGTTCAAGGTTTTTGAGTTTCAAGTTTTTCAGAATTTCTCAGGCCCTCCTTCTAATTCATACCTTTCTTAGGGCAGCATCTTCTCCAGAGCCTGGAATGGGAGCCAAAAGACCTCAACCCAAAGCCTAGATGGAACATACATGCCAGAAAAGATAGAGTGGAGAGTTTACACCCTTTAGGTAGTGAGCACAGAAGAGGCTGGAGAGGTGGCTTCATGGTTATAAGTGACTATGGCCCTTACAGAAAATGGGGCTTGGTTCCCAGTACCCACACCAGGCTCACAACTGCCTGTAATTCCAGGTCCAGGAGATCTGATGCCCTCTGGCTTCGGTGGGTACCTGCACATAAATTGTGCCCATAAACTCACTCAGGCATAAACATATCAATAAGAGTAAAAGATAAATCTTTTTTAAGTGAAGAAAATCTGTTTCCCTCTAACTGAACTTAAATTCCGGTCTTGGTCAGCTCAGCTGTGCCCCAGCCCTCCCTGTCTCTAGCTTCAGACACGAGCTCAGTGTTAAGGAGGAAGAGGTAGGAGTCATGGTGCCAGCTCTCCATCATCACCCTCAAGTCTGCCTCATCGTTGTCTTTTCCCTGGACGTCAGCTACCGGTTCATGAAGCTCCTGCCCAAACCCTGGGTCCTCGTTGTCCTGATCACCAGAACTTCCTGGCTAGCTGGTTCTCACCAACCTCAAGAATATTCTGCTATTTCTTTCCCTGAGATGGGGGTCAGTGAGGTACAGGGCAGGACCACCACAGGATTAAAAGATGAGGTGCCTCACAGAACTTTTCTGACTGGTAATCCATGACCCTGTCATAGAACAAGCCCCGATCTGTATCAAGTGCCATTTCAGCGTGTAGCCACCCCATTCCAAGAACATGGCTCAGAAGAAAGAGGCAGTGCTTGGGGCTCCCTCCAAGGACCTCGCAAATGCTACTCAAACTGCCTACCATTGCCAGCTCACTCTCGACCAGAGAATGTTGATCACTTCTAGAAACCAACCAGCAAATGTGTTTCAAGATCTATTGCTTAAGTCTCAATCTTGACTCTGAAGCCCTAAAGAATGAAATATATATATATATAATTTTTATATTTTATAAATATATTTATAAGTTTTATAAATATATGTTTATATATAATTGTTTCTTTCTCTCAGTGTTCCTGCCCTGCCCTAGTCACTCCACCTAAGAATGTTCAATTCCTAAAAATTTCAGTGAAGAGTAACAACATACCTTAGGAAGACAAATAAGTTGTTTCAAAATAGTTTTCTTAAAAAGAGCTGAAATACAAACATCTCGAAGCAAGTCAAGAGGGGGAAATGTCAACTCTGAGAGGGCAGGTTGCCCCAGAGACAAAGACTATATATCAGACCCAGACTGAAACTCTGCAAGTGAATGAAGTTTCCTTGGGATCGAAGCCTGTGTGTGGCTGGGAGTGGGGCCTAGATCCCGAGGACTTACTCATCACTGTGGCCAGGGCAGTCAGGAGACCTTCCTCTGAAGACCTGGAGTTGGATGAGATGTTTAGTCACTTTTCTCATGACTGTGACAAAGGCAGCTTAAGGAAGAAGAGGGTTGTTTGGATTTATAGCCTGAAGATACAGTCCATCGTGGCGGGGAAGGTATGCTGTGACGGTGGCTCATTGTGACAGTAGGGTCATGAGGCAGCTGGTCACACTGTATCGACAGTCGGGAAGCAGAGGGGGATGAAAGATGTTGATCAGTTTATTTTCTCCTTGTTTCTCTTTTGTCCAGTCCAGAACCCTCAGCCATAACTGGGGTGGATTGCCTATCCTCAGCTAAACTTCTCTGGGAATGCCCTAATAAAGAGACCTACATGTCTGTCTCCTAGGCAATTCTAAATCCATTCAAGTTGACAATGAAGATTAACCATCACAGATAAAGACCTAGATCCTGGAAAAAGGGGTAGACATACAAAAGACTCAAAGGGCCAAGTTTGACAATGCTCAGACTAATATTTATTTAAATAAACTAATACAAGTAGAGTATCCCTCATCTGAAATGCATGGGACCACAGTATTTAGGATTGAGATTTTTTTTAGCTGAGAACAGTTACTACATATAGGATGTTTTGGAGATGAGATCCAAATCCACACATGAAAGTCACTTACGTTTTTATATACACCTTGAGAATTTATCATAAGATTAATTTGATACAATATTCTTTTTTATTAATTTTTTTCATTTATTTTACATACTGACCACAGTTTCTCCTCCCTCCTTTCCTCCTGTTCCCTCTCCCCAGCTCCCTCCTACCCGCCCCCATCCACTCTTCCTCCATCTCCACTCAAAAAGGGGCAGGCCTTCCATGGGAGTCAACACAGCATGGCATATCAAGTTGAAACAGGACCAAACTCCTCCTCATGAATCAAGGTTGAGCGAGGCAAATCAGCTTGGGGATTGGGTTCTCAAAAGCCAACTCAAACACCAGGGACAGGTCCTGATCCCACTGCTAGGGACCCCACAAACAGACCAAACTACATAACTGTCACATACATGCAGAGGACCCAGGTTAGTCCCTATCTCTCAGTCCAGAGTCTATGAGCTCCTACAAGCTCAGGTCAGCTGTCTCTGTGGGATTCCCTGTCATGACCTTGACCCTCCTCCCTGGTTCATACAATCCCTCCTCCTTCTCTTCAGCTGGACTCCCGGAGCTTGGCCCAGTGCTTGGCTGTGGATCTCTGAATCTGCTTCCATCAGTTACTGGATGAATGTTCTCCAATGATAATTAGGATAGTCATCAATCTGATTACAGAGAAAGGCCAGTTCAGGCACCCTCTCCACTATTGCTAGGAGTCTTAGCTGGGGTCATCCTTGTGGATTCCTAGAAGTTTTCCTGGCACCAGGTTTCTCCCTAACCCCAAATACCCCCCACTCCGCCATCAAGATATCTCTTTTATTATTCTCCTGTCCTCCTGCCCCCAACCCGAACAACTGGATCCCTTATGTTCCCATATCCCCCTCTCTACCCCCAATTTACCCAGGAGATCTCTTCTAATTTCCCCTTCCCAGGGAAATCCATGCATTTCTCTTTGGGCCCTCCTTGTTACCTAGCTTTTCTGAGGCTATGGATTGTAGCCTGGTTATCCTTTACTTTACAGCTAACATCCACCTATGAGTGAATACATATCATATTTGTCTTTCTGGGTCTGGGTTACCTCACTCAGGATGATTATTTTCTAGTTCCATCCATTTGCCTGCAAATTTCAGGATGTCATTTTTTTTTTTTACCACTGAGTAATACTCCATTGTGTAAATGTACCACATTTTCTTTAGCCATTCTTTGGTTGAGGGGCATCTAGGTTGTTTCCAGGTTCTGGCTATTATGAATAATGCAGCTACGAACATAGTTGAGCAAGTGTCCTTGTGGTATAACTGATCATCCTTTGAGTATATGCCTAAGATTGCTATAGCTGGGTCTTGAGGTAGATTGATTCCCAATTTTCTGAGAGACGGCCATACCAATTTCCAAAGTGACTGCCCTGAATACAGCACCAATAGCATAGACACTGAGATCGACAATTAATAAGTGGGACTTCCTAACTATTGTAGGGTGTAAGAGTACGTAATTATGAAAATTTACAATGACATGTTTATTTATTCAGTCATTTGGTTGATTGTTTGTCCCTCCAACTAGGCTCTAAGATGTGTAAGAGCACGGATGCCAGCACCGTGTTATCCTTATCTAAGTCTCTGACATACATAAACTCTTCATGGGATTTATAAAGACAATAAATGAGATTAACTGTACACATCGGAAGAGACATGGGGAAAAAGCCAGCACATATGAGGGGAAAGGAGACAAGCTTTAAGCAGGCCAATGTGAAATAGCCTTATGGAAGTGAGCCTTCAACATAAAGCAGAAATTAAATGCTAAAGACTGTCTCACTTACGACATGAGAACTAGAGCATTCCGGCCATCAGTGAACAAAAGTACCAAAGAAGCTCAACACAAGCTGGGTTCCAGGTGGAGTCTGCTAACACACAAGAGGTACTCCGACTTAAAATGGAGCTACTCCTGGAGAACACTGGGCTCACATTTGCTAAGTCTTCGAAGGCTTGAAATAGGGGACACAGGTTCTAAGGACACATGTAGGTCTGTCACAATTTTGCAAGGGCTGGCCCTCACAGATTGCAATATATGCAAGGATATAATACTATATATACATATATATAATAAAGTATATGCAAAATGCAATAATACAGAGCCTTAGCACAACCTCCAAGGAAGAGTTACAAATATACATCCTTTATGTATTTGCAGCTTTACTGACCTGAGACCCCTTGTGTTTTTCAGAACTCCGATGCAAGTTATGACTTCAGCAGCAATGACCCCTATCCCTACCCACGATACACAGATGACTGGTTCAACAGGTAAACTGAGCCTTGAAAACGTCTTTATTGTTAGTCTTTGGGATTGATTTTACTCTGTTTTGTTTAGGGCTTGAGTGTCACCAGCAAAATCATACCAACATTGCACTATGTTATATATGTTCTTCTTCATAGTGGCTTCATTTCTGAATCTTTGGAGTTTTAGTATTACAGTGGCCCTCAAGAATTATTGTTTGACTTATCATCTTGTTCTGTTGAACTAGAAATGGTTTGCCAATCTAACCTATTATGGATAAGAAAAAACAGAAACAAGAAAGTTTTCTCAGTTCACTACAGTGATTTAAAAGATTTCACTTGTCCTATTAAAGCTATTTCAGACAAACTTTTTTTGTTTTGTTTTGAAACAGTGTATTACTATGTAACTTTGGCTAGCCTAGAACTCAATATGTAGACCAGGCTAGCCTCAAACTCACTGAGATCTGCCTGCCTCTGCCTCCCTAGTGCTGGGATTAAAGGCATGCACCATTATTCGGGCTCTATTCCAATAAAAATTTTGTCAGTGGTTCAATGTTTACATAGTTTTAAAAATATTTCTGCTACAACCTCATAACATCTCAGGTAGACTTTTCCACAAAAGTGTAATTGACAGAGGTTTGAAATATGGACCATATGGTCCATCTGAGGGTATCACTTTTCTCCATCATGTTTTGCTGCTAACCACATAATGTGGCTTCTTCTTTCTTCAAGTAAATATCTTGCTTAAATGGTTAGCTATGTATGAGAAATATTCAGAAATTTAGGTGTTTGGCTTACTCAAAAAAAAAAATGTTCCAAAGCTGGTTCATGGGGAAAGGTTGATCAGTGGAAACTAAGTCATAGAGATGAGTAAGGGTTCTGGTTACTGAAGGGAAGGGTGGCTATAGATGACAATGGTGTCCATGTATTTCAAAAAGCTAAATAGGACTTAAAGTTTCAAAATGAAACAGTTAAATGTTTGAGAAGTCAGGGATGTTAAACCCAATGTAAATATGATATATAGATATGTCACATACTAACATTAATATGTACATTTTATGTATCAGTTAAAATAAACTGTTGTAAATTTTAAAGTAAATTAAATCATAAATAAAGCTGCTGCTTCTGTATTACCCCTGCCTTTGGGTGAAGACCATAAAAGTATATGAATTTCAATTCACAGCATGGAAGCACACCATGCACAGAGCATTTTCCCATTGCTCTTGCTTCTTGTGAACAACCTAAGCCCTAGATCAAGCAGAAGTTACCTCCTTAAGTTTAGTGATGGGGAAAGGTTGAGAAAGACTGAACGGCTTCCCTGATCAATCAAATCAGGTTCAGTCAAAGCCGATAATAGGTCATGTTTTACAGTGTTTTAAAATCCAAATTCTTGCATTTTTTTATTTTCCTTTCAGTTTTTGTTTGAAGTAGGGTCATAATTTGTAATCTAGGTTGACCTGAAACTTACTGTGTATCCCAGGCTGGCCTTGAACTTTCAACAGTCCTCTTGCCTCAGTCTCCTGAGTGCTGGAATTCCCAGTGTGCACCACTATGCCCAGATCAAATGTGTACCATTTTTATACATATCACTATTTATTTTATTCAAGAAGTGTGATATCCATAAGTGGCCAGGGTAGATCCTCAGTGAAGCAGGTGGCTTAGGCTAGCTTCCTACCAAGCCAGGGAACATGGGTGTGGAGGCTCAACAATTTCAGATATGCAGAGAGAATGAAGACAAGAATTAAAGTCAGGCATAGAATAGTCTTAAGGGATGGTTTGTAGATGTAACCAACCGTCTTATTAAATAAGAAACACAGAGCCGATTCAGAGAAGAAAGCCAAGAGGTCAGAGCTAAGAGCCTTACCCTTCCTGCTTCAGGGATCCTCTTCAGCCAAGAGAGCTCTCCAAAAGGGAGTTACTTCCTGTGTGTTTGTCTTTATAGCCTTTCTGTTCTGCCTTCTCATTGGTTGTAAACCCAAACACATGACTGCCCTCTTCACTGCCTGTCTGTAGAGACTTCCAGGTCTTCTGTGGTTGGTATTGATATTAAAGGCGTGTGTCTCCAATGCTGGCTGTATCCTTGAACACACAGAGATCTACCTAGCTCTGTCTACCAAGTGCTGGGATTAAAGGCGTGCGCCACCACCGCCACGCTCTTGCTATGGCTCTAATAGCTCTGACCCCCCAGGCAACTTTATTTATTAACATACAATTAAAATCACATTTCAGTACAAATAAAATGTCACCATAATGGTTACTGATGTGCAGTAGCATAATTTAATCTCTACTAAGTTCTTGCGGCCAGAATATGATGACCATGCAGTGCTTGGAAGGGTGTCTTTGTAGGGTGAGAATGTATCTAATAAGATCTGAGAATTCTAGCCACAAAGTGTTTCTTATTCCCATGACTTGTAACCCTGCATCCTAGTACCTTACCACATAAATCATTTTTAGACACAAGGATATGAAGTTACCAAACAAATGTTCCTAAGCAAGAGTTTATAAATAACTAACAGTGAATCTGGAAGGCTGGGGTCAGCTGGGTCTAGCCTCAGCATTGAATGATTCCTGGCCCTCTCATGAGCATAATAGAGCTGTAGCATCACATGAACCAGACCATGCTATCTCTCTGTAACTAATAGGTATTAAGTGTTGATAAACTGACCCAAGCAGATAGGGGAGTTTTTCCTGAAGCTAAACCTTCTTGTATGATATTTGTAGGAATATTTAAAAAAAAAAAAAACTCTACAAAAATGCCTTATCTCCTAAATATTTTCATTTATAAGTTTGTTCTTGAAAGTTCCATTTTAAACGGGCTAACAACCTCTAATTAGAGCTAATTAGTGTTTAGTGTAATAAAAATCCATCACTGTCAGCAGTAAGAATTCCCAAATGACAAGTTTACCAGAGTCACAGTCCTAGTGAGTCAGGCAAGCATTCTGCCTGCGTCCTAGGAAGCCAATGACTCAAGACAGAGTGTCCCTGCACTCTGACCAATAAATAACTTTCCCCCAATCATCAAGTCATTCTTAAAGACTTTCATCTACTACAACTTGTACTGCAAAGATTGGGTGTTGCCAGGTCGGCCAGACTTATGGCCTCACAAACATAACAGGGATTGGAACTGATTGTATGAGTATGGTAAGACAAAGTTCAAGCCCGCCCCATCAGGAGAACCTTGGCCCAAAAAGTTGGCACCTGCTTGGCATGAAGAGAATTTAAATAAGGTAAATAACATATCCTCCATGTGTAGGATATATCACTAAAAGTTCCCTGCAGAATGAATGAACACCATGCATGGTATCATCTTCAGTACTACTTACAATAACTTAAGGCAGGAGGTGGAGAATGGGTGGGGGTGCTGAGGAAATGAGACTGGCCATGAGTTAATTGTTGTCAAAGCTGAGAGCTGGAAACGTGAGAGTTTGCTCGATTTGTATACACCTTCTCTATTTTGGGATTTGTCGGACAAATATGTCAAATATCTAAGTGAAATAATTTAAAAGTAGGAAAGTTTTATTTGGGCTCACAGGTGTGGAGCCCGATCCATGGGCCCCAGGAGAGGCAGAATATCATGGTGACAGGAGTTTAGCTGAGCAGAAGCAGCTTACCTCATGGCTGACAGGAAGCAGAGACAAGAAAAAGCCAGGGCACATCTAGCCCCCAGGTGTAAGTCCTACCTTCTCCAACTAGACCTCACCTCCCAGTGTCTTTCATCACCCCCAAAATAAAATGATGCCAGCTGGTAAATAGCCTTCAACACATAGGCCTGTTGGGAACATTTCCTATCCCAACCATAACATTACAATGAGAGATAAACTTCAAATGTAGGAGGCATAGAAAGAGGCAATGAATAGACCTGGGGGTTGAGTTCAGTGCTCTTGAAAGCATTCGTTTTGTTATACAAACTTCTGAGGAACTTGCCACATTATATGAGGGAGGAAGTGCATGCTTGAATCCCCACAACCCCGACTGAATCCAAGGCTGTCATAACACAACAAACTAACATACATTGAACTAGACTTACTATCTCTAAGGCACGGTGTTAATGCTTTGTATGTGTTAATTTAATTAATTATCATAAGTCTCTGAATTACCAGAATGATCCCTAAGCATATAGCTTACACCATTTGTACAAGATTGCACAGTTAATAGGTGGTAGGGGAGAATTTTGATGCCAGAGAGGGGCTCATTGGTCCAAGACTTGAATGAAGATCATAGGTAGAGTTGGAAGTGGGAGCGAAGATGATGAAAGAAAGAGAGATATAGAATGCATTCAAGGAGTGCCCTGGACATCTGGTCCAGAAGTAAGAGACAGTGTGGGGAGCAGTATCCTAAGAAGGGTGCATGGAGGGGGAGAGATAAGCTACTAAGAGAAAAGAGAGGACAGACTTTGCAGATGGGTGAGAAACTGAGCCAGGGTCACAGATGAGGGTCCCTATTCCATTGAACCCAAAGAACGTTGTCACCCAGAGACAGGAGCCTTGAGTTCAGCATCTGCCCTTGACCAGTACAAGATCTATGTTGTTCCCCCAAAGCCTCATGCCAGCTTTGTACCTGTACCACCACAGGGACACGCCACTGCCTCTTTGGATGTCTTTTTCTGGACACGGTCATAAAATCTGGTGCGACACCTTCATTCAGGCTCTATGGTCTCTTAAGCAATTCTCATCACAGCATGCACTAAGTCTCCAATAAAGCTGCCTGCTGCTGGCCCAGAAGGAGCAGGCTGCTATTGATTCCAGCAAGGCTACCTGCCACAGAGGCTAGTTAGATCCCAGGAGCAATTGCTGCACAGGAATCAGCAGTGGCAGGAGCCATCTATCCCAAGAACCTATTACTGGGGAAAGAAGAAAATACAACAAAGGACCCTCAAGCAAGCAACTGAAATGTATTCCTTGGATGAAAAACCACATTCAAAGCAGCATGTGCCCCCTGGGTTTTCCCAACCATCTTAAAGCATGCTATCACAGCCTCTGTTCTTACTGATTAATCTGTTTTTCTTCTAGTGTGCATTTCTAATAGAA